ATGTAAACACAAGTGACACAAGCAGTACATTGACAGGATTACAGAACCCCCTTCCCCAGAGGAGTAACCCGAATAAATAAGTAATGGGCACATCTGGTAACAGTACCTTGGACAAGGGACCAGTCACGGTAGAAACGGGATAGATGATTCAGGAAGGGATAACTGGCTGGGTTTTGCACTGGTAGTCCATCCTTGAGTGCACTTTCAAAATGGGCGCTTAGGGGGTGGGGGGGTGGGGCTTGGATTGGCCCTGGCTCTGTCCCGAAGGAGGGCATGATGGTCTATGCCATGGGTACCTGCTTCTCCTACGGGAGAAGTCCTGCCTAGGTCTGGGCGGGAAGGGGCACTGTTGTGGGGGCTGAGGCTTAAACGGCTTTCTTTGAGTTGCTGGGGTATGCATGCCCAAGGATTTTATGGTGTTCCTTGTGCCTTTCAGGGTATGCAGGTGAGAGTCAGTTTGCTCAGCGAACATGCCCTGGCTGTCAAACAGAAGATCCTGAATGGTGTGTTGCACTTCAGGTGGGAGGCCGGATGACTGCATGCATTCCCACGCATGGCGATGCTGGAGGCCAAAGTGCAAGCTGCCACGTCCGCGGTGTCAAGGGAGCCCTGGAGGGAGGTTCGGGCTACCAGCTTGCTCTCCTTGGCGATGGCCCGCAGTTCCGTGCGGGACTCAGATGGGAGGAGTTCCTGGAACTTAAGGATCGCAGACCACAAATTATAACTGTATCTGCTGAGAATTGCAAGCTGGTTCGTGATTCGAAGTGAGAGGCCCCCCATAGAATAAATTTTTCTGCCAAAGAGGTCCATGCGTTTCGCCTCCTTTGATTTTGGGGCGGGCCCCTGTTGGCCCTCTCTCTCCTTTTCATTAACCGTGTCCACTACAAGAGAACATGAGGCAGGGTGAGTGAAGAGATTCGTAACTCTTGGTGGGGACAAAATACTTTCTCTCCACCCCCTGAGACGTAGGGGGGATGGAGGACGGGGTTTGTCAAAGTGCTTTGGCATTAGATTGGATGCTCTTGTTCATCGAGAGGGCCACCTTGGAAGGACTGCCTGGCCCAAGATGTCTACCATGGGATCTTCTTCCTCCACAACCTCCTCCACTTGGAGGTTCATGTTTAGGGTTACGCGCCTGAGTAGCTCTTGTAAGACCCTAAAGTCCATGGGAGGTGGGCCTAAGCGTGACGACGGGTGAGCAGCGGGAGGGGCACCTTGGGCCTGGTGGCATGCCCAAGGGGTCCAAAATTGCCACTGAGGTTGCCAGTGTAACGCTGAGGGATCCTGTCCCAGGCTTCCCAGGCCCGACTGAGGGATGTCTGAGGCCCCTGAGGCTCATCCCGATCTGATGGAGGGGGACCACGAGTGCGATGGCCAGGGGAGAGTGGTGCAGGAGTGCGTGGAGGGGGGCACCGAGTCCCTCGACGGGCAAGGCTCATGTGATGACCAGTTCCGGTATGTGGAGCAGCGCTTAGAGGGTGATCGGTGCCACGCCATGGAGCAGTGTCACGCTGGGTGGACCAGTGCCGTGAAGGAGACCGGTGCCATGAACGGGATCAGTGCCATGACATGGACCGGCATCACAAAGATGATCACCAAAATGTGGATCGGTGCCACAATGATGATCGGTGCCGCAAAGGGAACCGGAGTCAGGTAGGGGATCTGCGACGGGCCTGAGAGCGGTGCCATGATGACGAGCAGTGCCGCACAGGGGATCGCTGTGCAGATCGGTGCCGGTCCAAATGGTGCCGCGGGGTCGCCAAACACAATCTGGACCTCGAGCGGGACCATGTCCTGGCGGCCGACGATGACCTGTAGCGTGAACAGCTCCGAAGGTCGGGGCTGCTAGACCAGCAGCACGAGTCTACCTGGCATAGTGAGTCAGACCGGTGCACGGTGCGGTGCCGTGCCGAGACTCCGAATGATGCCGGGACTCAGAGCGGTGTGGGAAAGCTAGTCTGGGAACAGGCGGCCCGAACATCGCTGGTTTACCCCTCAACGGGGAGTCGTGCTGGGGGCGGCGCCAGGATAGGGGACACCAGTGCCGTCATCTCAATAAGCCCCCTAGTGGCCTCGAAGGTGTCCGGGGTGGAGGGCAACGTAGCTTCCTCCACTTGAAGAGGCCCTTGGGGCGCGGGACTAGTATGAACAGATGGAGGTCTCGCGGTTTTGTCAGGCTTTGGGGCCTGGTCAGAGCTGTGCTCAGTCGGGGCTGTGGTGACCTTTTGGAACGTCCTTCCATCGCTTGCTTCTTATGAGCGACCGGGGAGTGGGAGCGTTGCCGAAGTAGATGTGTTTGGGGCCTGGGAGATCGTTGGTCCCGAGGAGGGCGAGGGTCCTTGTGCGGTGCTGTGGGCGGCACCGCCGGGGGAGCACTGCGCACCGATGCACTTGGGCCCGCATCTTGAGAGGGACACAGTGCAGACTCCATGAGGAGTTGCCTGAGGCGGATTTTCCTCTCTTTCCTCGTGCAGGGCTTGAATGCTTTGCAGATTTTGCACCTGTCTGCCTGATGAGTCTCCCCCAGACACCTAAGGCAGGAGTCGTGGGGGTCGCCCATAGGAATGGGCTTGCCGCAAGAACTGCAGGGTTTGAAGCCCTGGGACGGCATGCCCCAGAGCCCCGTAGGGCACTCGTTGAAGGGGAAACACCCCCTCCCACAACCACTATACTACACTTAACACGAAGATAACTACTAACGATTAACTAACAAAGAGAACTATTTACAATGATAAGAGAATTCTAGGGAGTAGTGGAGCACTTGCTAGCAAGAGACCACTGTTCCAACAACCGTCACGGGCAGTAAGAAGGAACTGAAGTGGGGTCAGACTGGCAGGGTCCTATATAGAGCGCCGTATCGGCGCCACTCCAGGAGGCTCCACAGCTGGCCCGACGGGTAGCTGCTAGGGAAAAGTTTTCTGACTTCCGTGCACGCGGCGCGCGCACACACCTAACTGGAATTGAGATGAGCAACCACTCGAAGAAGAATTACTGATAACTCTAACGCAGGTAATGGTGTCTTTAATGTAGAGCACCATCCTCCCCACATCTTCTACTTACTCTGTCCTTCCTATAAACAGATTGTAACCCGTAATTTTAACATTCACAGAACACCATTGCATGATTGGGAAGATATATGCAGGGCAGAGATGGGTGCCATCTGACAAAGAAGGGGTAGGACTTTTTAGGTCTCCAGTTCACTAACCTAGTGCAAAGGGCCCTAAACTAGGATTGAAGGGGGCCAGTGACAAAAGCCCACAGATAAGTAAATATGGTGCCCTGGACAATAGTCTGCAAGATGAGGAGGGCAAAGGGGCAGAAATATGGGAAATTGCAGTAGGGTCATTAGAGAGACAATAATGGGACAACCTGTCAAACATCTTAGCTGTCTATATCCTAATGCAAGGAGTATGAGAAATAAACAGGACAGACTGGAAGTCTTTCCTGGGTTTCCTTACCTCTCTGATGTAGCAGCAGCTGATAGTTGGTAAATCCCCTCCCTGGGCTTCTGGCTGATGTCCTTGGCTGGTCAGTTATGTGCAGACCCAGCTGAACCACGAGGTTCCCCATCTTGGGGAACTGTGCTGAGTTCTAATGGAAGGGAGAGGGAGAGGGGACTCCATCAGCATTTTCCTGTCAGCTCCCAGTCCCCCCCCGGCCAGGACTCTCCTTCCCCTCAGCAGGAGATGTTGGGGGAGAGGAGCTAGAGCTAGACCCTTTATTTTCTATGCCCCCAAGGGAGCCTGGAGCAAAGGGATGTGGGCAGGGCCCTCCATGAGCACCCCCAGCTGCTCCAAGATAACAAGAACAGACCCAAGGCCAGGCATGAACCTGGCTGGAGCAGGGGCTGGAGCACAGTCCCTTTAAATGCCCAGAGTCACCACTTAACCAGGAAAACAAGAACTTGACTCAAGCCAAGGTCATTCCCTGCTCTGCCTCCCCAAGAGGAACACTCCTAACCCGCAGCCCCTGCAGCAGCAGATCTTACAGCCAATCAGAGCCAGCCTGCCTATGCCAAGAGTCAGGAAGCTGGGGTCAGAGGTCACTTATGTCAATCTCAGGGAGGGTGATGGTGAATCTGAGCACGGCCGTGCTGCTCCTAATGGCCCTGGATCTCTCCTGGGACACCCTGGACACGATCCAGTAGTTGACATGCTGTAGGGGAAGGAGGCAGCTCAGGATTAAAGGGCAGGTGCATGTGTTGTGCTAATGAGCCCCTCCCCATCCCCAGGGGGCTGAGACATTGTGCACAGGGTGGAATATCTGAGTCATTGATCGCAGAGCTTTAGAAGGGAATTGTTGCCCCAAGGACGATGCTTGTATCCTGCAGGTCACAACTTGTCATTGTCTCTCTAGACTGGGACAATGTTCAGTTTCGGGGCTGGTCTCATCCTCCCTGAACTCCTGATTCCTGAACAGCTCACCAGGAATCATAGAATCATAGAATATCAGGGTTGGAAGGGACCTCAAGAGGTCATCTAGTCCAACCCCTTGCTCAAAGCAGGACCAATTCCCAACTAAATCATCCCAGCCAGGGCTTTGTCAAGCCGGGCCTTAAAAACTTCCAAGGAAGGAGACTCCACCACCTCCCTAGGTAACGCATTCCAGTGCTTCACCACCCTCCTAGTGAAATAGTGTTTCCTAATATCCAACCTGGACCTCCCCCACTGCAACTTGAGACCATTGCTCCTTGTTCTGTCATCTACCACCACTGAGAACAGCCGAGCTCCATCCTCTTTGGAACCCCCCTTCAGGTAGTTGAAGGCTGCTATCAAATCCCCCCTCCATTCTTCTCTTCTGGAGACTAAACAATCCCAGTTCCTTCAGCCTCTCCTCATAAGTCATGTGCT